TCCTAAAGTCACCCTCTGACCTCTGCATACATGCGCAGATGAACACACTCAGCACATCCTAAAGTCACCCTCTGACCTCTGCATACACACGCGCAGATGAACACATGCCCACCACATCTTAAAGTCACCCTCTGACCTCTGCATACATGTGCGCAGATGAACACACAAGCATACCCTGAATAGGTTTAATAAACAATACTCAACTTCATGCTCCTTGTGAGAAATTCACTTTGCTTTTAAAGACAAAGTTGAAAAGTGTGGGGATGGAAAAAGATATTTGTATATGAAAAAAGCAAAGTCTACATTTAGATGTATCAACTAAGTTAAAAACTGAAAAGAAGGTTAGTATATGATAGGTCAGTCTGTCAAGGGGATCTGTGTAAAATACTTAACTGTGTTGTATGCATAAGAGAGACCCTCAATACCACAGTCAGTGGTAATCATCACACAGAAAGTCAGCAGGTTAATACTACATAGTAGAACAAGAAGGCCTAAGTCATAGTAATAAAGCAAACCTAAAAGACTATAGAAGTGCCCATATATAAAATAAATCAGATCTAAAATAATAACACTGCAAAATAGTAAAAAAAAAAGTGTGCAAATCATACATGTGATATGGGCTAATATTCAAATTTATAAGAACCTCAACAGTAAAAAAAATATTAAAAATGGGCAAAGTACCTGAAACAAACATTTTTTAAAAGAATGTATACAAATGCCCAAAATGTTCATAAAAAAATCTGATGAACATAATTAACCATCAGAAACATGCAAATTAAAGCCACTGTGAAATCCCACCTGACCTGTTCCATAGCCATCAAAGGGAGGGCAGGGTAAAGGTTGAGAGAGGCCAGAGGAGGGGCCAGTGCACAGCTGTTACTGGCAAAGTATATTGGCACAGCTGCCATCATGGAAAACAGCAGAGAAGTACCTCCAAAAATTGAAAACAAGAACTGTGCACGCTGTCATTCTTACTGCTGGGTCAACACCCGAAGAGACAGGTCAGTGTGGTAAGATCTGCACAGATGTGTCAGGACACAACAACTGTAGCCACAAACCTCTAGTACTGCTGGGAAGGGTGTGCACAGGTGTTAAAAGGGGGTGTGGGAAATCTGGACGTCCCACTTTGTCATGCCCGCCTCGCCAGCAAGGATGACGCAATACCAGACTCTTCTTACTGCGGTTTATTCAGGACCTTTGAATAATCTTCTCACCCTTTCGCCCCGGGGCAAAGCCAGCCTACAGCTTAAATAACCTCTGGGTAGCCAACCCCAGAAAGCCATGTGGGAAACGCAGATAGGTCCAGAAACGCGAAAGCAAGCCAGATCCTTAGCGTTAGCCATATATGGAGTTGTTCACAGCTGAGAGCACTCACCGTTGGAAAGGTGGAAGGCAGAAACCAGCGCCACCTTTAAGGTGTGGCATCACACAGCTCTCTACAGTTTCCCCTTTTTGTTTTAGATGCAACACGCAAGAGTAGAGGCCTGATCTCTGAATATAGAATGACATTGGGACCTTGTACTGATCCTCATTCAGGTGTCATCCACCCGAAGAGTATCAGACCAGTCCGATACCTTTTTTCAGAGGTGGGATCTAGGGTATCAACCCACATGCAATCAGGCATGCTCTTCTCTGGGCCCAAAGTGGCTGACCCTGAGTGCAGTGCTTAGCCTTGCATCCCGAGCATAACAATTCTATGGTCGTCAACCATGTGTGGGGAACTGTCCTGCTTCAATGGCTGTAAAGGCTTGAATAATCATGGCTGCATTGCGTTGTTAAGGAAACCTGATCTTGCATATACACCACAGGCAAGCCAGGGAGACCAACACCAAGAGGTCTGCTAATGTTCCCATGCCTGCCCACTCTTTTAGATGATTCATGGCAGCGGAGATCCAGGACGAGAGTCCTTCAGCCATTCCAGCATCCACTCGGGTAGAATTCATGATGACGATGGCCACCCTCGGCTGCTCCATCATGGCATCAAACTCTCCAGTCCAATTACCTAAAAGATAGCTAGACAATTGCTTAGACAAGTTTGCAGCATGGGTAAAGTTCTCATATTGTATGCTAGTCACACAAAGTCCAACATATCTCCATTGGCAGCCTAGCTGAGCGATTTGCCAGAGGACATCGATTTCATTAGTCCTCCTTTCAGTTGTGCATTGACCCCTTTCTGAACATCCAAAGTCAATGCAACGTTGGCCGAAAGGTTATTCAAAGTTTGCGCAGTCTGCCCAGTATGGCTCATGGTAATTGCCGCAATAGTCCTGTGGGTTGGTGATATGTAGGAAGAATGCACATGACAATATCCTGACCTTCTCAAAATCTCTGTAATAAGGCATCTTGTAATCTTTCTTCCACCTTTTGTAAAGCCTTTCTTGCCTCATCAGTCAATTGCCTCGGAGAATTTAAAGCAGAATCTCCATTTAAAACATTATATAAGCTAACTTATCCTGACTTATCCTAACTTATCTTAACTTATTCTTCCTTATCCTAACTTATCTTAACTTATCCTT